GACCCTTGTCTAGGCCCGAAACGTCAGCCTCTCTGCTCCTATGATGCTGCTTGGCCTGCTGTGTTCATCCAGCCCTGCACCTTGTTGTCTCGGATTCTCCAGCATCTGCAGTTCCTACTATCTAGGATGTTTCCTTAGGCTGGTGTACCTGCAACCAGGGGACTGTGTTTTAGAAGAAAGAGTGAGACATTTACAATACAATATCCTTTTATTGTCATGTGTACTCCATTGCAGGAGTACCGCGAAAAACGTTTACAATGTCTGCCTTCTTATGGCGACATCTTCGGTACAAGTACCTGGGTACAACTCTTGGATACAGCGGGGGAATTGAAGCAGTTGTTTAATTACAGAGTTGAAAGTAAGTTAAAAATAGGAAAATATTAAGGGGTTAACATTGCAGTGTTCTAAGGTAACGATTGTACCCTAACACTAGTCTCCATCCAGGACCAAGATGAGGAAGAACGTCTTCATTCAGAGGGTTGTGAATTTTTGGAATTCTCTACCTCAGAAAGCTATAGAATCTCAGTCATTGAGTATGTTTAATGTGGAGATTGAAAGGTTTCTCAATACATCAAAGGATATGGGGATAACACTGCAAAATGGCATTAAGGTGGATGGATCAGCTGTGGCGTAGAATGACAGGGCAGGTTCCAGGGGCTGAATGGCCTATTCCTGCTCCTATGTTCCTATCCTGACCTTAACCACTGTTTTGATGTAAACTGGAGATAAGGAAAGTGAGGTGAGGTGACCAGAGACTGACCAGTATCTGTGGAGCTATTCCCCAGGCTGAGGCCATCGCCTGCTGATCTGAAAGGAGAGCAAATTGTTATAGAGAAATGTCAGAAAAGAATAAGGTTTGGGTGCAAGCTCAAAGCTGTCAGTCACGTGTACCACATAGTGGATGGTTATGACTCATAAGGACTGTTTGTCCTCACTCTGTTACAGCGCACCAGCAGCTTCGGGAACTTTGACAGATTCAGACATCATCCACATACACCCAAACCAGAGGAGAAGGCTGACGACAGTGTAAGTGTTCTTGCTTTTAGGGTCAAGTTTGAAGACTGTGAACGGGATCAGCTCTCTGTGCAATCTGGATGACATTTAACCCCTGACCTATTCTTCAAATCGTAAAGTGCCTAACTGCACATTTGCGTATTGTTCTCTCAATGGCTAACACTGAGAACTCCTGGAAAACCTGAGGATGTTACCAGCAACATCCTGGGGAAGGCATTGAGCAGCCACCCCATTCTAGGGCCAAGTCAGGCCTTTTGGTGTTAAATTAATGGGTACCTCAGGGCCTCCTTTCATGTCTCTGGTATTTTGCCAGTGGCAGCGAGTGGTTGGGAGTTTTGTTGTGGCTTTTTTGTGGGCTTTTGGTTTTGCAGATGTCGTCTGTCCTGCTCAATCATCCTGTACCAAATGGAGGCCATGTCCAAGGTCATCCTTGCTTCTGCCTAACTAAATTATGCATTTTTAAATGCTCCACTATTACATCCTTTCCATCCCTGCAACTGTCTGAATACAGATATCTCTCTACACACACACTTCATCTTCTTCCACGTTTATCTCACTTTCTTTATGGTGTGTGTTTGTCTCTCCGTGTCTATCTATCTGTATATCTGTCTTTGTGTGAGTCTGTGTGCATGTGTGAGGTGCGCGTGTATCTGTTGTGTGTATGTGCGAACACATATGAATGTGTGCATGTGTTTGTTTGCATCTGTTACTACTTGTGTTTGCCTATGTATGTGTTGTTTGTGTGAATGACCGCGCATGCGCGTGTTTGTGTATGTGCATCTATGTATGTGCATGCGTCTGTGCCCATGTTATTGAATGCATGCATGTATTTGTGTGTGTATTTGTGACTGTGACCACATGTGTATGTGTGTGTCCATCTATGTGTGCCTTTATTTGTTAATGTGAGTGGCCATGTGTATGCGTGTGAAAAGGTTCCTCCTCATATCGCCATTATTTGTTTTGCCAGTTGCCTTAAAATGGTGTCCTCTCTTTCTTGTTCCTTCCAGCATTGAAATCAGTTCCTCGCTATCTGCTCTGATCAGCCCCTCAGTGGTGGTTTGACCACCACTTTCAAACCATTGCTGAACCTTCTCTTCTCCAGGGAAAATTTCTCCAATCTACAAACATATGGCACTTGGACCACTGTTCGCTCCCAGAAAAGAATTTTATCATAAGAACTTTCATAGGCACTTTCATTTATATAGCACCTTGTGATGTTCCCAAAGCCCATCACAGCCAATGAAGTGCATTTGAGATACGGTCTCAGTTGTCATATGGGAAGCAGGGAAGCCAATTTGCGCACAGTGAGGTTTTAAGGATGTTCCTGAAGGAGGAGAGGTCAGCATGGAGAAGAGTTATTTTTCCATTAATTTTAATCGTGCAAACTCCTTTACAATGCTGGAGGGTTGAAAACTCTACTTTTGTTTTCCTTCTTTTTCCTGATGGCCCTTGCCCCCTCAATGAGGTATCATCTGGAGGTATAGGCCACTTGGTATCAAACCACCCAGTGACTGTTGTGTACACATTGGACAATGCAGGAAGTGTCATCAGGTTGTTCAAATGTAGACAACATCACTACTAATCTTGATGAGTTTCTCAGTCCTGCTTGATCTGTTCGAACTTATTGTTTTTAACCATGTTATTGTGAAGACGAAACACAGGATGGTTTGCAAGCTGGCTAACAAGGGATTTCTTTTGATCTGCTAGGCTGGCGAAGCCGAACAAGGAGGAGAAGCTGCCGGGGAGCAGAATCCGCCAAAGTCTGGACAGAATGAGAGCGGGCTGGGGAAAACCATGCGTGCCATTTCCAAAACCATGAGGAAAAAGATGGCACGCAGATATGCCAATGCTCTATCAGAGGGGATGGTGAGTTTCAGCATTGTATCCATTGCTAGTCCTGACCTGTTTACAACAGAACTATTTTCTAATCTAGGTGACAATATTACAAATACAGCAGTTCAGTTCCCAGCATGTCTATACATGCCTCTATCAGGAAAAATACGTGTGCCAAAAATTAATGGTAAGCCAGAGGACTGAGAAAGATCCAAAAACCAACAAAAGATGACCAAAAAAGTAAATATGAGACAGAAGAAAAACTTTGAAGTTACAGTACAATATAATATACTTTTATTGTCAATGCGCCCCATTGTATGAGTACAGTGAAAAACTTTTACAATGTTTGCCTTCTTATGGCGACCTCTTAGATACAAGTACCTAGGTACAACTCTTGGATACAGCAGAGGGATAAAAGTAGTTGCTTAATTACAGAGTTGAAAATAAGTTAAACGTAGGAATATTTAGGGGTATATTACGGGGTTAACATTACAGTGTTCTAAGGTAGGGATTGTCCCCTCACACTGGTCTCTGTCCAGGACTTGCTGTCTGTGCGCTGCTCTGGGAGCTGCTTCCCATATGCTGCTCTGGGCTCACAGGAGCATAGGGGCTCACGAGGCATGCCTGCAGGCCCCCGAGTGCAAGGCCACGCTTCTCCCTCTGGTTCTCCGTGGGCCTCGGCCTGTGCTCGCTCTGGCCCTCAGTGGGTCTCAGCCCACTCGCTCCGGTCATCCATAACTCCCCACTCAGGGTTGGGGGTTGGGGTGTTGAGAAAGGGAAAAGGAGAGAAAGAAAAAGATGGAAAAGTGGTAAGGGACCCGGCGAGCAGAGGAGCTCTGACCGGAGCATCCTACTTTGCCGAAATCTTGGACTTGGACTCAGGAATAAACAAGTAATAGAAAGATAGACAGCAAGAGCTTCTTTAAATATTTAAAAGGGAGACAGTGGCCAAAGTTAACACAGAGCCTTTAGGGAATGAGGCTGAGGAAATAATAATGGGGAACCAGGAAATGGCAGAGGCGTTGAATCAATACTTTATGTCAACCTTTGCAGTAGAAGACACAACAGAATTCCAAAATGACTAAATAATCAAAAGGCAAAAGGAAGAGAGATAATGAGTACAATAACTATGACTGGACAAAATGTGTTAGGAAAACTAATGAGGCTAAAAGCTGATAAATCTCCTGAACCTCATGGGATGCATCTCAGGATATTAAAAGAAGTAGCTTTAACAGAGATAATGGATGCACTGTTAGCAATCTTCCAAGAATCTTTAGATTTTCGAAACATCCCAGAGTATTGGAAAATTGCTAATTTAATACCTTTATTTGAAAAGAGGAGACAAAAAAAACAGCTTACTGTAGGCCAGTTAGCTTAATGTGGGCAATTAGAAAATTTTAGCAACTGTTATAAAGGTGCAGAGCATTTAGAAATGGATAAAATGATCAAGCAGATTTGGCATGACTTCATGAAGACAGAATAAGGGCTGACAAATTTATTAGAGCTCTTTGAACAGGTATTAAGCAGGATAGATAATGGGAAAGTAGAGAGTGTAATAGACTTGGATTTTCAGAAGGCATTATTATAAGGTATGAAACATTAAGCTACTTAAAACGATAAGAGCCAGGGTCTAGGCCCGAAATGTCAGCCTTCCTGCTCCTATGACGCTGCTTGGCCTGCTGTGTTCATCCAGCTCTGCACCTTGTTGTCTAAGAGCCCATTGTGTTGGATAGAGTCGATTAATACGGATAGCGGATTGACTAACAAATAGAAGACAGAGATTTGGGATAAGGGGGGCACTTTCAGGATGGCAATCTGAAACAAGCAGAGTGCCACAGTGTACAATGTACACTAATCATATCGATGAGGAAAGTGAATGTACTCTGGCCAACTATGTGGAAGATACAAAAATAGATGGAAAGGCAAATAGTGAGGATAAAACAAAAAGTCTACAAAGGAATAATGGCAAGAGAGCGGGTAAAAATTTGGCAGATGAAATGTGGGAAAATGTGAGGTTATGCACTTTGGCAGGAAATTTAGAAGAGCTGAATATTATTTAAATGAAGAAAGACTGAAGAACACTCCAGAACAGAGGTACTTGCGAGCCCTTGAGAATAAATCTCAAAAAGCTAGCAGCCAAGGTCAAGAGATAATGAGGAAAGCAAATAGAACGATGGCTTTTATTTCAATAAATAAAGAGAGTTTGCTTAAATTATACAAGGCACATATCAGACCTCAGCTGAAACAGTTTTAAGCCTTTTCTCTAAGGAAAGATACATTAGCTTGGAGGCAGTCCAGAGGAGGTTCACTTGGTTTGATCCCTGGTATAGAGGGAATGTTTTATGAAGTGAGGCTGAGTAGCTTGTAATTATTGGAATGCAGAAGCATGACAGGCAACTTTAGTGAAACATATAAGATCCTTAGGAGACTTCACAGGGTAGGTGGGGAAAGGTTGTTTCCGCTTTGTGAGAGAGTCTAGGACTGAATGGCATGATCTCAGAATAAGGGATCGGCCACTTAAGACAGAGATGAGAAGGAATTTCTTCTCTCAGAGGGTAGTGAATCTGTCTAATTCTTTGCTGCACAGGACTTTCAAGGCTGAGAGACAACTTTCAATTAGTAAGGGAGTCAAGGTTATGGAGAAAAGGCAGGAGAGTGGAGTTGAGGATCATCATCTCAGCCGTGACCTCATTGAATGGTGGAACAGACTCAATGGGCCGAATGGTCTACTTCTGCTCCTATGCTTTTGTGTGTTGAATACAACAAGTGTGCTTTATTCACATTAAGATCAATTTGGAAATTGCTGGTTGTAACACTTTCAGCACTCTGTTTATTAGAAGGAAATAATCAGGCTGATTCGCTTGATTTGTTTTAAAGTTTAGGTACTCTAGATGCAAGAACAAACGTAGCTAAACACCACAGTGTTAATGTTCCATTACAGTTTAAATACTGAACCCCTCTAACTCTATTTCTGTGTTAAAATTAACTTGTATCAAATATCAGTTCGACCTACTGGAGTGCTGTAGACAGTGTTAGTCACCATATGACTAAAATTAAATAGGCACAGCGCTGAAGATGCCAAAAAATAGATTTACAAGAACGATACTATATCATGATCCTTATCATAAAAAACTGATAAGAGAAGAGAAGCCAATTTTTAGCCTGTTGACTTGATCGAGGTGTTTAAAATTGTTCAGAAGTTTGAAGATGCTTCCGTTTATGAGCAAATTCTAACTGATTAAAGATTTAACAGCCATCTTAGGTTTGTTCAACACATTCGCACCAGTTCTATGACCCTTTGGTCTTTTGCTTATAAATTCTGTGTCTAATGCCACTTCTCACACTAACACCTGAAGAAGGAGTGAGACTCCAAAAGCTTGTGTCTTCAAATAAACCTGTTGGACTATAACCTGGTGCCGTGTGATTTTTGATCTTGTACACCCCAGTCCAATACGGTACCTCTGTCTCATGGCTTATGAATGAGGTCTTAAAAAAACGACTGTCGCCATTATATCAAGATCAGGAGAGACATCTTTACGCAACGAGGGTGAGAATATGAAACCTGCTCCCATACAGAGTGTTTGAGGTGAATAGTAAAGATGCATTTTGAGTGGAAGCTTGATATAGGCATGAGGGAAAAGAACAGCGTTTGATAAAGAAATGTGAGAGACGCTGGTGTACAGGGGAAATAGCAGATTGAATTGGCTGAGTCAAATGGCTTGTTGCTGTGTTACAAATGCCTTGCAACCCTCCACTTACCCTCTCCAAGTGCAGCGTACAGTCTACACTGAGCACTGACTAGCTAATATTCGCTAAAGACAACTTTGTTAAAGGTCACAACACTGCAGAAGCATTCTTGTTGGAAGGAAGTCACACTGCCAGGTTAATACTGGCCATTTCAACAGCAGGCCAAATCCCAAGGGATGTGAATTTAAATAGGCAGTAGCCATTTAAGTATCTGTGTGGTACCACTTTGATTTCTCAATGGATGCTATACAGGTGCTGTTGTGCCAAGCCAGATAAGGAGCCTCCCACATTGGCCAATATTGAGTGAGCCTCCAATTGTTAATGCAATGTTTCAGTTTTATCGCTCTGAGTTACTGCTCTGGCGATCAGCTCCAATACAGGCAACCTTTTACTCAGTCCGAAATGGTACAACAATCTGAGGAACACTTGAGAACCTAAGTTCCATGGATTATTAGGTCAAAGCTTTCACAATGTTAAGGGCCATAGATAGGGTGGATACAGAGAAATGAGTTGGAAAGTCTACAACAAGGGAACTGCAGGGATCTTGTAGTGCAGTGGTAGTGCAACTACCACTGAGCCAAGAGGCCCAGGTTCAAGTCTCACCTGATCCAGAAGTTTGTAATGGATGAGAGGGGAAAGATTTAAAAGTGACCTCAGGGACAATTTTTCACACAGAGTGTGGTGCATGTATAGAATGAGCTATCGGAGGAAGTGGAAGAAGTACAATTAAAGCATTTAAAAGACTTTTGGACAGATACATGGATAGGAAGGGTTTAGAGGAATATGGGCCAAACGCTGGCAAATGGGACTAGGTCAGTTTAGGATATCTGGTCAGCATGGACGACTTGGACCGAAAGGTCTGTTTCTGTGCGGTATGACTCTATCTATAATTAGGGAAGTTAACCTAAAAGCATAAGACCCAGACCGTTCAGGAGTATAATTAGGAAACACTTAGAGTCATAGAGTCATGGAGGTCTACAGCATGAAAACAGGCCCTTTGGTCCAACTTGCCCATGCAGCCCAGTTTTCACAATTAAATTAGTCCTGTTTCCCTGCGTTTGGTCCATATTGCTCTGTACCTATCCCATCCAATTACCTGTCCAAATGTTTCTTAAATGATAAAATTGTACTCGCCTTCACCACTATCTCTGGCAGCCCATTCCAGACACTCACCAACCTCTGTGTGAAAAAAAATTGACCCCCAGATCCTTTTGTACCTCTCACCTTAAACCTATGCCCTCTAGTTTTAAGACTCCCCTACCATGGGGAACAGTTGATGGCTATTTTACCTTATCTATGCCTCTCATGATTTTATAAACCTTTATAAGGTCACTCCTCAGTCTCCTACGCTCCAGGGAAAAAAAGGTCCCAGTCAATCCAGCCTCTCCTTATAACTCAAACTTCTGGGTGCAAAGGGTGGTCAAAGTTTGATAATTTCTTCCACTAATAATAATTGATGTTGGATAATTTTAAAACTGCAATTGATACATTTTTGCTAAATGTGAGGATAGGTGGTAAGGGTTGAGTTGTGTTGCAGATCAGCCACTGAATGGCAGAACACGCTTAAGTGACTACACAACCAATTCTTACTTCAATAGTTCTACATTATCTAAGTTTCTGAGAGAGAATCGGTAACAGCTGCAATTGTTCAAGGTTTTTAAGAGAAAACTTGTGTCTTCCAGCCCGAGGCCAATGCAGAAGAAGTGACAAACGAAACCATAGGAGAGCACGATGCAGAGGATGGTACTCTGAGAGCTTGCGAGTCAATGGAGAGTCTCTATAGTCTGAACAGTGGGCAGAGCTCGTCGAGTAAGTCAACTGAGTGGGCTGGCCAAGGTCAAAGGTCAGAAACTGCATGACCACAGCAATAGAGGATAAATCAGCCTACTTTCTAGATGGTGTGAAGTTAATTACAATGGATATCCAAAGAGACCTGGGGGTTCAGGTGCATGGAAATTTCTGTTACTACAAACAAGTGCAGAAAATAATCAAGAAAGTTACTGGAATGCTAGTCTTTATATTTAGGTGACTGGAGAATAAGGACACAGAAGTTACGCTGTAGTTATACAAAACCCTAGTTAGAATGCACTTGGAGTACTGAGCAGATCTGGGTAGTACACCTCAAAGAAAAATATATTGGCTTTGAAGAGAATACAACATAGGTTTACAAGAATGATGCCTAGACTTCAGGGGTTCAGTTATGAGGAGAGATTATACAAATTAGGCCTGTTTTCTCTTGAATTTAGAATGTTAAGGAGTGGTCTGATTCAAGTTTTCAAGATATTAACAGGAAAAGACAGAGTAGAGAAAAATAAATTATTTCCACTAGTTGGGGATTTAGAACTAGGGGACATAGTCTGAGAATGAGGGCCAGACCATTCAGGAGAGATGTTAGGAAACATTTCTACACACAGAGAGGGGGAGAGGTTTGTAACTCTTTTCCACAAATGGCAATGGGTACTCGATCAGTTGTTAATGTTAAATCCGAGACAGATTTTTCTTCAGCGGAGGTATTAAATGATATAGGGAAAAGGAGAGGATATGGTCATAGATCAGCCATGATCTCACTGAATTGTGAAACAGGTTTGAGGGGCTGAATAGCTTCCACATGTTCAATATGCCTATGTGTTTTTAAGATGTTTATTAATTATTATGATATTGAAAATGGGGGTGGCTGGGGAGTAAAGGCTGTTTGATTTGGGCAGCGTAGTTGTAGGCAGGAATCCATGTATTGAAATCTCCAGGAATATGGACAAACAGACTTGGCAATTTCCAGCAAAAATGTACATGGAAGTGAGAGGCTAGGATCATCTCTAGTCCTTACCACCATCCACATCGTCCTCTGCCAAACGGGGGAAAAGATCAGGATGCTACATCCAATAGACCTTCAGGGAACAGCCCGTGTGTTGGCCTATGTGAAGCCTCCTTTAAAGACTTGCATTGTTATAGTGTTTATATCAAAGATATATCAAAGCATTTTACAGTCAAATGAAGGACAATGAAAATATGATCGCTGTTGCAATATAGGAAATACGGCAACCAAAAGCCTTGAGGAAAGAAATAACTGCGGGATCCGTTATCAACGTTAGTTGAGGGTTAATATCTACTCAGAGTGAGCTTGCCGCCGCAGTGCAAAATTATAACATCTCAGATGACCTGAACTGTGCCCTTTCAAATAAAGGGGAAACAGAATAAATTAATAATTCATCAGCACCTATAACATCGAATCGTTGATAAGAAAACGTGGGTGGTTGTTTTTGTGACAGACAGGTAACCGCATTGTGAGCTCTAACAGACTTTGTTTGAGGTGTTTATCACCTGAATCAGCTGAGGTGGGTTAAGCCCAGCATACTCACTAGCTGTGGCCAGGGTAAAAAAAATGTCCTTTTTATCAGCTCGTTCATCATATGTTACACTGCACCACATTTGAAAAGTACAACAGCCAATGCATCATAACAGATTCAAGCTTAAATTATAATCAAGGACTCAGGAAATCAAGAGATAGCAGGTCGTACTAGGACCCCAGCTATTCATAATTTATGTTAGTGATTTAGATGAGGGAACTAAATGTAATATCTCCATATTTGCTGGGTGGGAGGGTGAGCGGTGAGGATACAAAGATGCTTCAGTGTGATTTTTAAAAAATTCATTCATGGATGAGGGCGTCACTGTCAATGCAGCATTTATTTGCCCATCCCTAATTGTCCAGAGGGCAGTTAAGAGTCAATCACATTGCTCTGGGTCTGGAGTCACATGTAGGCCAGACCAGGTAAGGATGACAGTTTCCTTCCCTAAAGGACGTTAATGAACCAGATGGGTTTTTCCAACAATCGGCAATGGATTCATGGTCACCATTAGATTCTTAATTCCAGATATTTTATTGAATTCAAATTCCACCATCTGCCATGGTGGGATTTGAACCCTGGTCCTCAGAATTTAACCTGGGTCTCTGGATTAGCAGTCTAGCGATAATACCACTAGGCCATCACCTCCCCTTTGGGCAGTCTGAAGGAGTGGGCAAATAAATGCCAGGTGCAGAATGCTGTTGATGAGTATGAGGTTGTCCATTTTGGTAGCAAAAACAGGAAATTGGATTATTATTTGAGTGACAATAAAACTGAGGGGAAAGTGAATGAGACCTGAGTGTTTTTGTGCAGCAGTCGCCGAAAGTAAGCGTGTGGGTGCAGCAGGTGGTGATGAAGGCAAATAGTATGCTGGCCTTCATAGCGAGAGGAGCTGGGATGTCTTGTTGCAATTGTACAGGGCCTTGGTGAGAGCACACCTAGAGTACTGTGTGTGGTTTTGGTCTCCTTGTCTGAGGAAGGATGTTCTTGCTATAGAGTGAGTGCAGCGAAGGTTTACCAGGCTGATTCCAGGGAAGACGGGACTGATGTTTGAAGAGAGACTGAATCAGTTAGGATTGTATCTGCTGAAGTTCAGAAGAATAAGGGGTGATCTCATAGAAACCTATAAAATTGTAACAGGACTAGACAGGGGTAGATGCAAGAAGGAAGTTTCCATTGACAGGGAGTCCAGAGCCAGGGTTCACAGTTGAAGGATATGGGTAAATCATTTACGACTGAGCAGAAATTTCTTCACCCAGAAAGGGGTGAGTCTGTGGAATTATTTTTAACAGAGAGCAGTCAAGGCCAAAGCATTGTATAAGTTCAAGAAGAAGTTAGATATAGCACTTGGGGCTAAAGGGATCAGAGGATATTATTAAGGATATGATTTAGCTGGAGAGGGTTCAGAAGAGATTTACTGGGATGTTGCTGGGAATGGAGGGTTGGAGTTATAAGGAGAGGCTGGATACGCTGGGATGTTTTTCACTGGAGTGTAGGAGGTTGAGAGGTGACCTTATAGAGGATTACAAAATAATGAGCAGTTTAGATAACGTGAATAACAGACGTCTTTTTCCTAGGGTGGGAGATTTCAAGACTAGGGGGCATTTTGTAAGGTGAGCGGAGAAAGATTTAAAAAGGCATGAGGGGCAATTTTTTTACACCAAAAGTGTAAGTGGTTGATGTGTGTGATGAACTTCCAGAGGAAGTGGTGGATGTGGGTACATTTACAACCTTTCAAAGACATTTAGATAAGCACATGAATGAGAAATGTTTTAAGGGAATGGGCCAAGCATAGACAGGTGGGAACAGTTTAGATTGAGATTATGTTTGGCATGGACTCATTGGACTGAAGGGTCTGTTTCCATGCTGTATGACTCTTTGACATGGGGGAACAGGTGAGTACAGACTACTGAGTTGGATAATCAGCCATGATTATATTGAATGGAAATAATGCAATTGATACAATCTGTTGTAACCAGGAATTGCAACATATTAGTCTAGAACAGCCAATATGACAGTGGGATGTTGCATAAGACAATGGGTACATTTAGCTTTAAAACATAGAGCAATAAGAACATTGAGAAATTGTAGGGAGAGTGAAATTGTGATAATGTTGGTGAGCTAATAGCCCAAAGCTCAGGACAATGCTCTAACAGTATGGATGCAAGTCCCACTACAGCTCCTGGTGGCATTTCAATTTAATTAGTAAAATCAGGACTAGAAATCAGGCCATGAAATTATTGTCACTGTTCCGAACAAGAGTCAAATTGGATTCAGCCTGTTTAGTTCTCTCTCCACAGATGCTGCAAGACTTGCACAGTTTCTCTGGCACTTTCTGTTTTTAAGTAAAGCCATCGCTAATCGTTGTCAAAACCTGTCAGTTTCACCTATGTCCTTTAGAGAATGAAACCTGCCATTCTTAACTGGTCTGACCGACATGAGACTCCGGGCCCACAGCAATGTGGTTGACTCTAAACTGCACATTGAGATGGCCCAGCAAGTCACTAATTTCAGGGGTAATTATGGATGGGAAGCAAATGCTGCCCTGACCATGCCCCAAGGAATAAATTATTCAATATCTGCTTTCTCCATTCACTCAGCACAGGTCCCAGTCCAGAAATGACTTGATTTTTAAATTCTGACCCCTGCTTGCCAGATCTTACAAACAGCACAGAAATAGACTCTAATTACCCGTGAAATGAGTGACTTGCTGGGCCATCTGAATGTGAAGTTCAGAATACACAAACATCAACTAGCAGCAAATCGACACGACACACTTTCCTTAATATCAGTACATTTGGACACAAGGCCATCAGTTTAACTGGGACAAGATAACCATTGTAGATCAAGCCAAACATAGACATTCCTAGAGGCGTGGTCTCAGCCCATAATGCAATCGACAAACATATAGAATTGGACTCCACATGCAAACCCAGGAACAAAACAGGAAATGACACTACTCACCATAACGGATGAGACAGTATAAATTCCAAGCAGAATAGAACAACATCGCTTCATCCGAAACCTCACTGATGATGTTGCGTTGCATGGTGATGAAACATCTGAACAAAAACAAGCCAGCTCGCGAGGAAAGCAACAACATCAACCACAACAATGGTGTTTAGTGATGGACATGGAATATAACAGTAAGAAGCTCTTGTTACAACTGTCCAGGAGATTGGTGAAACCACACCTAGAGTGCTGTATGCAGTTTCAGTCAGCTTACTAGTAAGGATGGACAAACTTCCTTTGGAAGTAGGTTAGAGAAGATATACTTGACAGATTCTTGGGAACTGTTTCATGAGGGAAGGTTGACCAGGTTGGTACTTTTAATTGACATTTAGTAGAAATTTTAAAAAATTTATTCATTTGTGGGATGTGGGCGTCGCTGGCTGGGCCCAGCATATATTGCCTGTCCCTGGTTGCCCCTTGAGAAGGTGGTGGTGAGCTGCCTTCCTGATTCTCTGCAGTTCGCCTGATGTGGATTGACCCAGAATGCTATTAGGGAGGGAATTCCAGGATTTTGACCCTGCCACAGTGAAGGAACGGCGATATATTTCCAAGTCAGGATGGTGAGTTTTGGAGGGGAACATGAAGGTGGTGGTGTTCCCATATATCTGCTGCTTTGTCCATACAGATGAAAGTGGTCATGGGTTTGGAAGGTGCTGTCTGAGGATCTTTGGTGAATTTCTGCTGTGCATCTTGTAGATAGCACACACTGCTGCTACTGAGCGTCAGTGACGGAGGGAATGGATGCTTGTGGATGTATTGCCAATCAAGCGCTGAGAAGTTATCTTATTGAAACATTTTTCTTTTCATTCACTTATGAATACAATTATTGCCTGTTCCTATTGGCCTTGAAAGGTGGCGATGAACTTCCTTCTTGAACCGCTGCTATATAAGATGAGATTCTGACAGGGTAGATACTGAAGTGCTATTTCTCCTCCTGGGAAATCTAGATTCAGGAAGCATAATTTATAGATATAAATATTTCATATAAATGAAACACAGAATTGCAGACACTGGAGATCTGAAAGAAAAACAGATATTGCTGGAGAGATTCAGTTGGTCTGGCAGCAGACCTGTTGAGTTTCTCCAGCAATTTCTGATTTTGTAATATTCCAGTTAAGATGTAGTAAAGGAGCAATTTCTTCTCCCAGAGGGTCATCGTATTTGTTAGTCTTGTTCCAGACTGCTGTTGGAGCTGATTATTGAATATATTCAAGGCTGAGTTTGATTTCTGTTTGAAAGGGGAATGAAAGTTCTTTTTGGCGAGGATGGGCAGTGGCAAGGAGAAAAGTGTAGCTAAGGTCACATCAGCTGTGATCTTGTTGACTGGCACAGCAGCCTCAAGAGGCTGTTTTTCTTTAAGACCATATTTCAAAAGAGTTTTACTAGCTTTAAAGCACTTTTGGCTGTCCTTGGGTTGTTAAAGGGCTCTATATAAATTTCTTTAACTTATTTTATTTAAATTCTACACCAAATTGGGGTTCAGAATTGGCTTGCCCATAGAAGATAAAAGGTATTGGTGGAAGGGTGTTTTTCTGGTTGAAGGTCCGTGACTAGTGGGGTTCTGCAGGGATCCGAACCGGGACCTCTGCTGTTCGTGATATGTATAAATGACTTGGATGAAAATTTAGATGGGTGGGTTAGTAAGTTTGCAGACAATAAAAAGATCGATAGATTTGTGGATAGTGTGGAAGGTTGTCAAAGGATACAGCGGGATATAGATCAGTAGCAGATATGGGTGGAGAAATGGCAGATGGAGTTTAATCTGGGTAAGAGTGAGGTGCTGCACTTTGGGTGATCAAATGTTAAGGAAAAGTATACAGTTAGCGGCAGGACTCTGAACAAAATTAATGTACAGAAGGATCTTGGAGTTCAAGTCCATAGCTCCCTGAAAGTAGCCATACAAGTTGATAGGGTGGTAAAGAAGTCACACGGCATGCTTGCCTTTATCGGTCGGGGAATTGAGTACAAGAGTCAGGATGTCATGTTGCAGCTTTGTAAGACTTTCTTTAGGCCACACTTAGAGTATTGCATTCAGTTCTGGTCACTATATTACTGGAAGGATGTGGAGGCTTTGGAGAGGGTGCAGAAGAGGTTTACCAGGATGCTGAGATAACAAGGTGTAGAGCTGGATGAACACAGCTGGCCAAGCAGCATCAGAGGAGCAGGAAGGCTGACGTTTCGGGTCTAGACCCTACTTCAGAAATGGCATTTGTGGATAGTGTGGAAGGTTGTCAAAGGATACAGCGGGATATAGATTAGTTGCAGGTATGGGTGGAGAAATGGCAGATGGAGTTTAATCTGGGTAAGAATGAGGTGCTGCACTTTGGGTGATCAAATGTTAAGGAAAAGTATACAGTTAGTGGCAGGACTCTGAACAAAATTAATGTCCAGAAGGATCTGAATTTCTGAAGAAGGGTCAGACCCGAAACGTCAGCTTTCCTGCTCCTCTGATGCTGCTTGGCCTGCTGTGTTCATCCAGCTCTACACCTTGTTATCTCAGATTCTCCAGCATCTGCAGTTCCTACTATCTCTTACCAGGATGCTGCCTGGATTAGAGGGCATGAGCTATAAGGAGAGGCTAGAAAAAACTCAGGTTGTTTTCTCTGGAGCGACGAAGGCTGAGGGGAGACTTGATAGAAATCAGTAAAATTATGAGATGCATAGATAGGGTAGAGTTGGAATGTTTAATACGAAGGGGCATACATTTAAGGTGAGAGGTGGGAAGTTCAAAGGAGATGCTTTTACACAGAGAGTGGTAGGAGCGTAGAATGAACTGCCAGAGGTGGTGGTGGAGGCAGACATATTAGGGGCATTTAAGGGGCTTTTGGATAAGCATATGAACATGCAAGGAATGGCAGACAGATGGGATTAGTTTCATTTAGCGTGATATTCAGCAGAAAATTGAGGGCCGAAAGGCCCATTTCTGAGCTGTACAGTTCTAAGTTCTATGTATTTACAGTGGGAGGTTGTGATTGGCCTCCAAAGTTGCTAAACAACTGTTGATGTAAGTAGCACTTAGCTCACAAAGAAGGATATACTTGAGAGAAGGTAACACTAATGGGCCGAAGGGCCTTTTCTGTGCTGTATGACTGTATGATTCTGTGACTGAAAGGGAAGTAAGAAAAAGGTAGATTACGGGAGGCTGAAAGACACAGACATTGCAGAGTTTTGAGAATGCTCTTGTGAAGAGGGAGGGAGGTATGGTTTGGGAAGACTTGTCGACTGAGCTGGCTTTAGCAGTCCTGATGCTTCCTTTTCTCCTAAGCAGGTGGCATTGCAAGTGGCTCAGACGCAGCAAGTAACCGGGACAGTCTCAGGCTGGATGAGGAGGTTCCTTACACAGGCCCATTCTGTGGAAGAGCAAAGGTTCACACTGACTTCACCCCAAGCCCCTATGACACCGACTCCCTCAAGCTGAAGGTAAGAACATGCTGATTTATTTGGGCTAGGGCATCTGAGACTTGCGTGAGTCAAAAGAATGTAGGTTCAAGTCCCACTCAGGAACACAATCCAGGATAATATGTGATAATTAAGAAGCAATGAGGATTTTTTTTCCTCCCAGATGGTAGTGTGATTTTGGAACTCTGCTTCAGAAGGCATTGAATATTTTTTAAGGCATAGATTGACAGATTCTTGTCAGATAGGGGAATCAAAGGTTATTTGGGATAGATGGGATAGTAGAATGTGAATCATAAAGAGATTTAGCCATGATCATGTTGAGCCATTCTTCTTGTATGACAGAACAGGCCCAAGGAGCTAAATGGCCTACCTTTTCCCCTAATTTGTACATTTAGGCATTGTTACTCCTCACTGGAGGAGCGCACTGGAAATCAAGCCCGTCTATTGCTGGGGTTATCGCAAAAGTTTAAAATTTTATAAAGTAGCAAAATTCTCCAATTTTTCAATCTGTTAGTCTTGGGCTGATAGAAGTCATGGACCAGGTTTTGGTACTTAACAAGGATTGCTACTCAAGCTACGAGGTAAACAGTTATGAACCATTGATATATAACTGTACTCGTTAAAAGTCTAAACTCCCTTATAAAACTCATCCTACAGACACACGCACACACACAAATCCATACACAAACACACACAAAAAGACACACATATATGCACACACACACACACACATATACACACACACCTGGGGGAGGCAACTTAATCGTGCCAGATCACAGGACTCACTGAGATGATCCTTTGGTTTGTCAGGACTTGCTGCTCCTCAATCTTCCTTCCCCAGGTACTTTCAGTTCTTTGCAGCAGGCACAGGGTGACTGGTTCAGACATTATAAAGTCTCTGATTTATTGGTTAAGATCTACAGTTGGCAGCAACTGATGAGGGGAAATAAATTGGCTTTCTTCAGGCTTGAGGTCATTTTATTACATAGAAAAGGTCCACTGCTTCCCTTTTGGAGGTCTGATGGATTCTGACCAAACTTTCATACCCATAAGCTCTTCAGCCACCTGGGAGCCAATCACATAGCTGTTGGCAGGCAGAAAGCCTTTATCATTGATAACTGGTCACCAATACATAGACCAATCAGCTACTTGTTGCTGGCCAAAACTCCCTCTGTACATAGCCCCGCCTCCTCCGGACCCTGCCCCCCCCAACCCTGGCTCCAGCTCCTCTGCTGTAATCTCCCTCATTGCTTGAGAAAACAGCAGCGTAAACACCACTTACACTGACAATCAGGTAACTCACTTTTAAAAACTACATCAGTCTATTCTATAATGCTCAGGTTTTTAAAGAAGCCTTCCCAATTCAGTCCATAGTCTAAAATACAGGAAAATATAGGATACAGTTTTAATGTCATATATTCAATTCCAGCCTCGGATGACTGTCAGTGTGGAGTTTGCACATTCTCCCTGTGTCTGCGTGGGTTTCCTCCGGGTGCTCTGGTTTCCTCCCACACTCCAAAAATGTGCAGAGTAGCCATACTAAATTGAGGAGGTGATGGCTTACTGGCATTATCAGTAGAATATTAATCCAGAGATCTAAGTAATGTCCTGGGGATCAGGGTTTGAATCCCACCTTGGTGGAATTTGAATTAAATGAGAAAAACAAAATCTGGAATTAACAGTCTAATGATGACCATGAATCCATTGTCAATTGTTGGAAAAACCCATCTGGTTCACTAATGTCCTTTAGGGAAGGAACCTTCCATCCTTACCTGGTGTGGCCTACATACGCCTCCAGACCCACAGCAATGTGGTTGACTCCTAAATTGCCCTCTGGGCAATTAGGATAGGGCAATAAATGCTGGCCCAGCCAAAAATGCCCTCATCCCGTGAATAAATAAAAAAACATTGCTCATAGTGTCTGGGGATGTGCAATTTAAGTGGATTAGTCATGGTAAAAACTCCATGTGGGGTTATAGAGATGGGATGGGGTTGGGTGGGATGCACTTTGGAGGGTTGGTGCACTCTCAATGGGCTGAAAGGGCTCTTTCTGTATTGTAGGGATTCTATGATAGAGATTCCAGTGTAGAACTGGCAGACTGTTGCCTGACTAAAGGTGAGATCTTTAACCAAGGCACAGCTTACCCTCTCAGATTGATGTAAAAAAGTCGCAAAGCATTATTTTGGACAGGTGCAAGGGGAATTTTCCCTGCTGTCCTGAAGAATATTTATTCATCGATTAACATCACTGAAAAATACAAAGTCAATGACCTTATCCTCACTGATCTGAAACATTAACTTCCTTCCCAATTCTGCCCGAACTGTTGAATATTTCCAGCGTTTTCTGATTTTATGTAAGATTTCCAGTGTACACAGTGCTTTACTTTTGCTAGAAAGCAGCCCCTCTGGCAGAGTTTCATTCCCTCAGTATGGCCCAGGAGTCTTAACCTGCAATTTCATTCTCCAAGACTCCAAGAACTTCAGTGCAGTGAGTAGAAGTGTTCAATGCAGAAATCCAAGGCTGTTACAAACCCATTTTAAGCCTTCTTCACTTTCCCAGTGTCTCCCCTACCACCCTCTATATGGCACGTCCCTCATATAGTCTCTGGGCAAGGAAACGACTGCAGAGAGACAATCAAAGATGTGACACATACTGGTCCAAAGCATCCTCTATGCTTCAAAATGGAGCTCATTTACAACCGATACATTTAGTTTCAAGTATTAATTGCCCAAATGGAGGTGGAGAGGAGAGAAGAGGGAAAGAGGACAGAGGGAATGGATGGGGAAAGGAGAGGTGACAATGGAAGGGGGATGGTGGGGAAGGAAGGGAAATGGGTCATGAAGACGAGAGAGTGGAGCAAGAGAAGAGAGAGAGAGAGCAGAGAAGGGAGAGAGGAAGGGAAGAGAGGAGATTGGGGAGGGATTGGATTAAGGAGGAGAGGAGGCTAGGTAAGGACTGAGAAGGGTAGGAAGAGGAGGGTGTGTGAGAGAAGAAGTGGGGATTAGAGGGGTGGAAGGGAAGGGGAGAAGAGTCATTGATATAGACATAGAGTCATACAGTACAGAAAAGGCCATTCGGTCCATTAGATCTGCATTGACAATAACTACCACTAGAGGCATGGTAATCCCAATTACCTGCACTTGTCCCAAATCCTTGATGTCATGATATTTCAAGTGCTCATCCAAATATTTTTTAAATGTCATAAGGTTTCTGGCCTCCCCTACCTTCCCAGGCAGTACATTCCAGATTCCCCCTACCCTCTGAGCAATAAAGTTATTTCTGAAATTCCCTCTGAATCCCCTGCACCTTACACTAAAACTATGCCCTCTCGTGACTGACCCCTCAACCAAGGGGAACAGCTGCTCCCTACTCACTCTGTCCATACCCCTCATAATCTTATACACCTCAATCAAGTCAGAGGAAGACAGCATACAGTAGGAGAGGGTAGAAGTACTATTTACCGAGTGTTAACCACCCAGTACCTATTATCCCCCTTCAGATGAAGTCAACCCTTCTCCTCGTCTTTGGCTCTGTCTCATTGGGTCATTCGAATTCAAAGGGCAAAGGTTAAGTAATGCCAACCTTGACATTTTCTTTCAGAAAGGCGACATCATCAATATCATTAACAAGCCAACCATGGGCACTTGGACGGGAATGCTAAATGGCAAGGTGGGAAATTTCAAGTTCATTTACGTGGATATCCTGCCCAATGAGGAAGCTGTGCCCAAGAAACTGAAGACAGATAGGAGGAGCAGGCAGCCAGTTCCCGATTCCTTACAGGAGCTACTGGAGAGATTCCAACTGCAGGTTTGTATGCTGCCTCCTCATTATGCTGGCTTTTGGTTGGGTACCCAAAGACTCCTTGACGTCTTCTCCATTCTTCAATTACGGGTCTTGATCGTAGAATCAAATCCCGACAGTGCAGAAAGAGTCCATTCAGCCCACTGCGTCTGCACTGACCCTCTGAACAGCGTCCTGCCCAGACCCTCACACTATCCCCATAACCCTGTATTTCCCATTTAACCTGCACATCCCCGGTCACTATGGGTAATTTCGCATGGTCAATCCACCTAATCTGTGGACTCTGGGAGGAAACCGGAGCACCCGGAGGAAACCCAAGCAGACACAGGGAGAATGTGCAAACTCCACACAGACAGTTGCCTGAGGGTGGAATTGAACCCAAGACCCCTGGCACTGTGAGGTGGCACTGCTAACCACTGAGCCACTTTACTACCCTGATGCTTATTATTGAGAAATCATTTGAACCACACTGAGAGTGGGGCGAGTGAAGGAGCAGCAGCTAATGTTAGCAAATGAGATCAGAATGATTAGAATAGAAGGGCTTTTTTTTGTGCTGTCGACCTCTATGATCTATGTAAGCATTTTCTGGACGGTTCACTATTATCCAGATTGGAGATCCTTCAAGTAATACAAAGGTTTATGCTAATAATCCAGAAAGAACGAGTTCAAATCCTGCCGTGGGTTGTGTGAGAATGTGAAACATATACATTTTTCAAATAAGCATTGCTAAAAAGGGACATGAAGTTGAAGATTTCATCTTTCATCTCACCAGGACTGAAAGACAAGAGAACCGACTCTTAACAGTCCTCCTGTAGTATCTCCATGTCAACCTGACACCAAACAATCAGCACTGTTTTCCCATGCTATATAAATTGCTCTTTCCTTTTTACAGTTTGGATTTCTTCCATCCCAGTTCTGTGTCTTTCTTCAGCAATGTTTATGTTCTGTACTGCCAAACAACTGTTTTTTAACAAATCTCGAAATTAATCTCAGAAAAGTGACCATGACATTGTTGACCATGTCACTAACAATGATCCCTCTAATTTTAACTGTTCCTCTGTAGACTCTTGCATACTGTATATCCAAAACAGCATGGAAATCAGACAGTTCAGGATGATTGAGTGTGTGTGAGGATTCTCAGCAAGTTTACTGCTAACATTGATCATGAATGTTCTTTAGGGAAGAGTCATAGAGACCTACAGCACAGATAAAGACCTTCCATCCCATTGAAACTGCACCAATCAAAAACAACCACCAAAATTTTCTAACCCCATTTTCCAGAACTTGGCCAATAGTCTTGTGTGTTTTGGCATCACAAGTGCACATCTGAATACTTCTTAAATGTTATGAGGGTTTCTGTCTCTCCCACCCTTACAGACAGGGGGTTCCAGATTCCCCACCACCCTCTGGGTGAAAAAAAATATTTTCCTCACATCTCATGTAAACCTTCTGCCCTTACATTCAACCTATGCCCCTGGTCGTTGAACCCTCCTGTCTGTGTCGTTACTAATTTTATATAAACCTCCAGTGATGTTCAGCACAAGCTGGAAGAACAGCGTCTTATCTTCTGCTTCGGGACCCTGCAGCCTCAGGAATCAATATCGAATTCAATAATTTTAGGGCCTAGCCACCTTCTCTTATGTTCTGTACCTAACCCAACATTCAAGGCCTTGCCTTCACACAAGTTATTTTCATCACAGCCAACTCATTCTCCCCATTACTCACTTTCCTCTTTCCCTTTTTTTGGGAAGTGGGCATCGCTGGCAAAGCCATTTATTATCCCAGATGGGCAGTTGAGAGTCAACCACATTGCTGTGGTCTAGAGTCACATGTAGACTAGATCCAGATAAGGATGGCAGCTTGCTTCCGTGAAGGACATTAATGAACCAGGTGGGTTCCAATCGATGATGGTTTCATGATCACCATTAGACTCTTAATTCCCCAATTGTTTTTTTCCTCCATTGAATTCAAATGCTGTTAGTCATGGTAGGATTTGAATTCAGTTTCCCAGAGCACTACATAAGTAGCTGGGTTAATAATCTAGTCTTAATACCACTAAACCATTGCCTCCCTCTCAACGGTCACTGAAAAAAATGTTTAGGCTTGAAGAAATAGGTATAGAGAAGCTGCACATTAAAGACACTGCTCTCTTCCTTGTCCCTATCCACATGTAATGGCTCTGGTTTGCTTGTTCTTTGGCCTGTGTAGGATCTTTATTCTGCGTTCCTTCTCAATGGCTACCAGTGTCTGGAAGACCTCAAGGATCTCAAGGAGAGTCACCTGATTGAACTTAACATCACAGATGCAGAACAGAGGGCACTGCTTCTGACTGCTGCTCAACAGGATTACAATGGTAAGGATGATATGACACATTTCCTTCATGCTGTAATGAAGGTGAATAAGTCCTTAATTTACCAGCAGCAGTTTTATCATCACTCCATCTCAAATATTTTATTTCACAGAAATATTCCAGGTTTTCTCAGTTTAATTCCTTGTGTATTTCCTTTCTCTCAAAATGTTAGTGTTTTGAAGTTTCTCTTCTGGTCTCTCCTAAATGAAAAGGATATTCAAAGTGAGTAAAGATACAATGTGGAGAAAGATGTGGAAGGGGTGGGCGCTTTTGGGGTTAAGGCTTTAACTTGCAGCTGGATGGTTCTTAATGTGATAAACATAAGAAATAGGAGAAGTTGTGGGCCGTTTGGTCCCTGTAGGTCGATTTGTCATTTGAAAAGGTCATCTCCTCAGTCTTCCAGAGTCACGCTGGAATGCAAAGATGAGCTCCAGCATCTTTTCTCCATTCCAAACCATCTCATAGAGTCATCGAGTCATACAGCACGGAAACAGATCCTTTGGGCCGACCATAATCGCAAACTAAACTAGTCCCACCTGTCTGCGCTCGGCCTATATCCCTCCAAACCTTTCCTATTCATGGACTCATCCAAATGCCTTTTAAACGTTGTAACTGTACTCACATCCACCACTTCCCCTGGAAGCTCACTCCACACACAAACCAGTCCATGTGTAAAAAATTTGCGTCTCATGTCTTTTATAAAACTTTCTCCTCTCACCTTAAACTATGCCTTGTTAGTTTTGAAATACCCCACCCTAGGGAAAAGGCACCTGCCATTCACCTTATCTATGTCCTTCATGATTTTATAAACTGCTATAAGGTCACCTCTCAACCTCCCATGCTACAATGAAATCCCCCACGCTAGGGAAAAGACACCTTATCTACATCCTTTATGATATTATTAACCTCTGTGAGGTCACCTCTCAACCTCCTATGCTCCAATGAAAAAGGTCCCAGCCTATCCAGCCTCTCATTTAACTCAAACCCTCTATTCCCGGCAATGTCCTGGTAAATCTTTTCTGAACCCTCTCCAATTTAATAATATCCTTCCTAAAACAGGGCAAACAGAACTGGACACAGTACTCAAGAAGAGGCCTCACCAACCTTAAAACCTTATACAACCTTAAAACTCCTTAAAGCATCTCTCCTTTGGCTCCACCAACATGAGAAACTCATAGACTCAGTGTGACTAAGATCAAAGGCATCTGATCATCCTGTGCACTTCTCTAACTTACACCAGCCCATAGGACAAAATTTTTTATAATGCTTCATCCCTACCCATAGAAACATGGAAGAAAAATGTTTTCAAGAAGGAGTTAGATATAGTTCTTAGTGCTAAAAGTATCAAAGGGTTTAAGCAAAAATGGGCACATGATACTAAGGTGGATGAACTGCTGTAGAAGCACACAAAAAGGAGCACGAGAAGGTCATTTGGCCCTTTCAGCCTGCTCCATCATTCAATACGATCATGGCTGATCATCCAACTCATCCCCTGTTCCCGCTTTCTTCACCCAGAGAGTGGTGTGGAATTCTCTGCCACAGAAAGCAGCTGAGGCAAAAACATTTAATGTTTTCAAGAAGGAATTAGGTATAGATTTTAGGACTAAAGGGATCATAGGATATGGGAAGAAGAGTACTGAGTTGGATCATTAGCCATGAACATATTGAATGATGGAGCGGGCTCGAAGGGCCGAGTGGTCTACTCCTGCTCCTAGTTTCTATGTTTCAATGTTTTCCTCCTCCCTTTCCTCTCCAAAGTCAGGAAACATGTCGTTGCCTCCTAGTGCTTGGACATCTTTACTGGAACTCCATATTTGAATGAATACTATTAGATTTCCATCCCTGCAACAGCTACTAAATCAGCTCCTTTTTAAAACACATTCATGGGATGTGAAGCATGCTGGCCAGCATTTATTGCCTGTCCTTAGTTGCCCCTTGAGAAGATGGTGGTGAGCTGCCTTCTTGAACCGCTGCAGTCCACCTGCTGTAGGTTGACCCACATTGCTATTAGGGAGGGAATTCAAGGATTTTGACCCAGTGACAGTAAAGGGATAGAGGTATATTTTCAAGTCAGGATGGTGAATGGCTTGGAGGGGATCTTATAGGTGATGGTGCTTCTGCTGCCCTTGTCCTTCTAGATGGAAGTGGTTGTGGGTTTGGAAAGCACTGCCTGAGGATCTTTGGTGAATTTCTGCAGTGCATCTTGTAGATAGTACACACTGCTGCTACTGAGCGTCGGTGGTGGAGGGAGTGGACACTTGTGGATGTGGTGCCAATCAAGCGGGCTGCTTTGTCCTGGATGGTGTCAAACTTCTAGAGTGTTGTTGGGGCTGCACTCATCCAGGCAAGTGGGGAGTATTCCATCACACTCCTGACTTGTACCTTGTAGATGGTGGACAGGATTTGGGGAGTCAGGAAGTGAGTTACATGCTGCAGTAATCCCAGCCTCTGACCTGCTCTTGTAGCCATTGTATTCATATGGTGAGTCTAGTTGAGTTTCTGGTTAATGGTAACCTCTAGGATGTTGATAGTAAGGGCAACATCATTGAATGTTAACTGACACTGTTTAGAACGTCTTATTTAAATCTCAGATGATACAGGGAGAGGGTCATTAGCCACAAGATCTTTTAACACCAGCTTCATATGTTGAATTCTGTCTAGAATTCGACAAAGAACGAGCACACAGGATATGAAACTCACAACCTGCTGTCTCATGGCTTCTCAATTATCCTTTCTTATTTAATAGCTAACAGATTGTAAAGGATAAAGGGAATTTTACATTTGCCCTTCTGTTTTACAGTCTTGAGTGACCAGGAAGAGGAAAGTGATGTTATAACTGAGAGCCAACCCTCCGACCTCAAGCTCGATCAAGCACACTTGAAGGAATGTCCCCGAGATTCTGGATGTTATGCTACCTCTGAAATCTCAGACAATGGGAAAGAAGACTTGGATCTGGAGAGTTTGCCGGAAATGGTTGAAGGTGCTTCCCTTGCTGACTGATTGCGAAGGGAATAATCACATTGTACAGTTTTGATTCAGACAGTAGGAGCCGATGGATACTGGAGAGTGTTTTCATTCTAGTTGCATTAATATTGAGCAGAGTTCCCTTATTTAACCTGAATTTACAAGAGAAAGAAAGGGGTACTGTTTAGGATTCACCATTAGATCTCCCAAAAAATAACTATGTTGATTGGCAAATTATTTCAACTCAATGAAATGAAACTCCAGGAAGCTGTATCCCCAGTACTCCACTCAATTGAGAGACTGGTCATGGCTGAATTTTGTGTGAGCGGTCAGTTAATGGATTGCCTCCATGTCTGATGTCCAAGCAGAAGATGGAGGCACGATACAGATGATGGGACCAGTATCCAATTACTCACAGCCAGCACTATCTATTGGAGCCATCTGCAGGTGAACTGTATCGATTTGAAAGAGGAATGCTTCGAGGATGATTTGGACTTTCAGCGTGTGACTGCTGCCAATACTCTGACTGTCCAGTCAAAGCCCCCAGACCTCCCACTGTCCTCCGTGAACCTTAGACAGAGTGGGGAATCAGTACAACCACCAGGAAATTTCAATCCCTTATAAAAGTGTCACTGATTGGCTCAATCATTATTTTCTTTTGGCGTTTCACCACTGCTGAGTCACTTCCCTGAAGCCTCCTCTGCAAAACTCACAAGGAAGGGGAAGAAGTTGGGAAGCTGTCCCTAAGATTATTCCCTCTAAATTTCCTGACTCTTGCGGACTACTTTAGCTCATTCCACAGGGCAAGGATAAATCAACCCAGTAAACCCCCTGTGGTTTTTTACAGCATTGCATTTGACCTTGTTTCATTTTGTTTTATTTGTATGTCAAGAGGGACTCAGATGAGTACATAAATAAGAACAATTTGCAGGGGCATAGGAAGAAAGTGGGATTAGTTGTTCGGCTCTGCCAAGTAATTAGTGCAGGCTAGATTGGCCAAGTGGATTTCTTCTGTACTGTGATCTCCTGCGAGGCCCCCAGAATAAGATCACTCCTCCGCTACAATGGATGAGCCCATAATCCACTGCAAAGATTGGCTGAACAAATTGACTGTGCCAAAACCAGAATGGAGTCACTGGCCGGTTTGATGAACTACAAATTGGGAAAACCAGTTGACCAGCTGACAAAAGCTGGACTATGTCCTGAGTGAGGTTGAGCTCCACAGTGATGAAAACCAAGAGGAGCCAGATATTGTCACCATTTTGGTTCTTTCCACCATGCCCCAAAGATTGGGTAGTTTCCCAAATTGCTGGGTCATGTCTGATTTCTTCTTTTCCCTAAGCCAGGGAAAGACATGTTCAGACATGATGGGGCTATAACTCACTCAGAGATAGTAAGAACTGCCAATGTTGGAGTCAGAGATAACACAGTGTAGAGCTGGAGGAACACAGCAGGCCAGGCAGCATCAGAGGAGCAGGACAGTTGATGTTTTGGGTCGGGACCCTTCTTCTGATGTTGCCTGGCCTGCTGTGCTCCTCCAGCTTCACACTGTGTTATTTCAGACATGATGGGCCTACGACGCCATAGCCATTCTGTGATTCTATGGGAATAAGGGAATGTAAAAGGGCCATTAATTAAAATTGTGGAAATGGATGTCCCTTTTGAACACTGGGACTATGTCACCAATGGCACTTGTGGTTTTGAAGAGAAGCTATTTTGTTAAATCCGTTTCATTTGATTGAAGCACCATGAGGCAAGAAGTGAGTTACTCCAGATACTATGTTTGTTAGCGATGAAAATAAGATCACCAACTCAAACTGGTCACATTCTTAGAAGATTTCACCAAAGTTACTGGCAGAAAATGGTGAAAAATCAAGAGAAATTTCCCCTGCAAGGAATGTGAATGTGTTCCAGAGAAAATTAGGCAAGTATCTGGTGAGAAAAAGGACTGGGTGAGGGTTAAGGAGAGAAGGTCAGTGATCTATGTGAGAAAGGAGAGGTTTGTCAGGTTTAATTTTCTCCTTATTGATCACATATAGTCACACAATCATACAGAGTTCATTAAAGTAACGTTAAGTATCATTCTCATATTTTTCAGACTTCACAGTTCATTTAGTGGTATGTGGTCCCTTTAAAATCTCTTTTGCACATTTGCAGAGGTGCAGGGACTTTTGGCATATGGACATCAATGTACACACATATAGAGACCTCAAAACATGTGAACATACATATAAACAAACAAATACATACATATTGGCATTGTAATGCAGACATGGTCGTTTAAATACATAACACCAACATAAAAAGCATGCGACCACTGCTGTCTTTTTTATTAAAAAAATGTTTTAATGATAAATGCAAACAGAAGCACTTTGGTGTAGCTAGCTTGGTCAGATATATGAATTTAACTGTGTTGGAAAAATCCCCTTTTGCTCCCTCCCTCCGTTGTACACAGTTTCCATGACAATTGCATGTTTTTCATCAGACCATGTCTTAGGCTTATTTTATTCGCAAATATTTATTAGATTTTTGAATTTTACCTAGTTAGCTTTGACATGATTGTTTCTGAAATTCCTTTCTTTATGACATTTCTGCATTAATTGTTCCCTCATACTGTTGTGTATTGTACTTCAGATCTTTAATTCATTTACTGGAAGATATTTCACACTCTTTAAATGTGGCTCAGTGAATAAGTTATACAAATGTTTAAAACCTTTTTAGAATGTTATATTTGCATTTTTGACTAATAAACTATCATAAAAACAGTCATCTTGTGTTCAGAAACTAATGTGTCTTTTTGACTGTGTTAAATTGATTCCTATTGGAGGACTGTTCACACTAACATTTATCCTTGTTTGAGAAGGAGATGGATGGTTTACCTCACAAGAACATAGCGATTACAGGAGGTCATTCGGCCCCTTGAGATTATTTCAACCTTTGATTGCATCATGTCTAATGGTGTACCTCATCACCCTTTCCTTGCCTTGGTTCTGACTGAAGCATGGAGCCCTTTCATTTCTGTGAAAATCAGAGGCCACTCCCTCTCTCTCTCGAACAAGACCTTCCATAATTTGAAAGACTCACATTAGGTCATCCAATCTCTTTTTCGAGAGAAGGACATCCAGTTAGTCGCTCCTTTCCTGATGTGCATAGAAACACGTACTAATACATGAACATGAAACAAAAGGAGGGCATTCAGCCCTGCAGAGATAGTGGGAACTGCCGATGCTGGAGAATCTGAGATAACAAGGTGTAGAGCTGGATGAACACAGCAGGCCAAGCAGCATCAGAGGAGCAGGAAAGCTGACGTTTCGGGTCTGGACCCTTCTTCAGAAAATGATGAAAGGTCCAGACCCGAAACATCAGCTTTCCTGCTCCTCATTCAGCCCTGCAAGTCTGTTTTACTGTTCAATAACATCCTGGCTGACATTTAACCTCAGTTCTACTTCCTGCATACCCACGATGATCTTCCACCTCCTTGGAAATCAAGGATCTATCTACCTCTGCCTTTAAAATGTTCAAAGCCTCTGCTTCCACCATCTTCTCAAGAAGAAAATCCCAAAGACTCCGCATCCTTTGTGTGAGAAAAAAAATTGCCTTATACCTGTCTTAATATTTTTTAAGAGTCCTCCCACTCCTAGATTCTCCCAGTAAAGGAAACATCCTCTCCATTTCCACCCTGTAAAGACTCTTTAGGATCTTATATTTCAATCAAGTCACCTCATTAATCCAATGATAAAAGCCAAGCCTGTCCAACCTTTCCCCGTAAGGCAACCCACCCATTCCAGGTTTTAGTCTAGTAAATTTTCTCTGACCTGCTTCCAATCCATTTCAATCCTTCCTTCAATAACGTGGCCAATACTGTACACAGTACTCCAGATGCCATCTCTCTGGTACCCTGCATAACTGAAACAGAATTCCGTCACTTCTGTATACGATTCCAGAGGGATTTCCAGAGCGGAGGTCTAAGGTAGGTTAAGGCATAGCCACTGGCATGACTGATTGGACTACTTCCGAGTGACCAACAAGCCAACACATTGTGAGATCAACTTGGCAACATTAATACCAGCTTTGTTACTGATGCCAACATCATGGAAATGAACTAAACAGTCCTCATTGCCAACTTGGTGTAAACTTTACATCTGGAAATGTGAGGAGAAGGAGCAATAAGCTCATGGAGACCACCAGTTAAACCAATGTGATCCTAGCTTGGGAGAAGAGGAATTGGGATTTAGGGGTTGGTTAGGGTCTGTGATGGGACATGTGGGTGGAGTCTTGTATTGGGATAGGGATGAAGTTTGGATCTGGATCCTGACTTGGGAGATAAACTATTTGTCGGATGGGGAGATAGGAGCCTGGTTTAAGTTCTAATATTTAATTCTGATTGGCTGCTCAATGAAGCCTTCACAAGGCACTGTGGTAGGAAAAGGTACTCCTACTGGCAGTAAGATATTGTACACTCAACAAAAGATCTGATTGAGACATATAAAATAAAGGGAACATAATGCACTCTGTTGACAATTTATTCCAATTAAAGAGTTAAGGAAACATCAGGGATCACAATTTAAGTTGTGTGAGTGGCGAACATAGGAACAATAGGAGCAGGAGTAGGCCATTCAGCCCCCTCAAGCCTATTCTGCTGTTCAATATGATCAGTTCCTCCTTACATTTACTCAGTGTCCTGGCCTCCACTGCATTCTGGGTTAGTGAATTCCACTCTTTAGCCTGAAACAAGGCCTCTCGTTCTAGATAGCCCTGCAAGGAGAAATATCCTCTCTATGTCTACTTTGTCAATCCCCTTTGATATCTGATATACCTCAATTAGATCTCCTCTCATTCTTCTAAACTCCAGAGAATATGGGCCTAAACCGCTCAACCTCTCCTCATAAGACAAGCCCCTCATCTCTAGAATCAATCCAGTGAACCTCCTCTGAACTGGAGAGGTGGTGATGTCCTGGTAACGTCACTGAGCCAGCACACTGGAGCTCCAGACTAATGTTCTGGGGACATGGGGTTTAAATCTCCCCACAGCAGCTGGTGAAACCTGTCTTCAATAACAAAAAAATAATCTGGAGTTAAAAGCAAGTCTAATGGTTACCAAGTAACCTTGGTTGATTGTCATAAAAACCCATCCGGACTTTCAGGGAAGGAAATATGCTGACTTTACCTGGTCTGCCTACATGTGACACCAGACACACAGCAACACAGCTGATTGTTAAAGACAGTCCGAAATGAGCCAGCAAGCCTCTCTAATCAAGGGGCAATTAGTGATGGGCAATAAGTGCAGACCCAACCAGTTATGCCCACATCTCATGGGCAAATGATAAAATAAAACCCCTTTGCCAATCAGACAGTCACCAACTCTGATAAAAACCGAGCACTTCAGGAATGTCAAAATTAGAGGGATCTCTTGGATCAGTTTCTAACTCCCGGATGGGTTGGAGAGGAATTCCCCAAATCATTCTCCCTCAAACTGCACTGAGATTTTTTTTAAAATCAGTTTTAGTTCATTCATCTCAGGTAAGTTGCAGAGTGCATACATTGTGATGAGCATCATAGTTGATGGAGCAGAGGATCTTTATCTGTCTGACATTGGTCAATGAATGCACACAAAGATCATAGACCAATGGCAACTGATGTAGACCATTCAGCCCATCAAGTTTGCTGCAACAATTTCTTTTGGTCCATCATCTCCTCTAAGAACTGTATTCTTTATGTTATTCTGCCTCTCTGTATTCATCCAACCCATATATTTCTCTACATTAAATATCATCTGCCAATCCTCATTAGTCCATACCGCCAGCCTGTCCAAGTCTTCTTGAAGTCTCTCATCATCCTCCTCACAGATCGTAAAACCGACAGCACATTATTTCCCTTCTGAATTACAGAATCCCTATAGTGTGGAAGCAGGCCATTTGGCCCATTGAGATTCACCGACCCTCTGAAGAGCATAGCACTCCCCTACCCTGTCATGTAATCCTGCATTTCCCATGGCTAAGCCATCTAGCCAGCCCATCTCTGGACACTATAGGCCATTTAGCATGGCCAACCCCACGTAACCTGCACATCTCCAGACAGAGTGAGGAAACCCCACACAGACATAGGGAGAATATGCAAACTCCAATCAGACAGTCTGCCCAAGGGTGGAATTGAACCTGGGTCCCTGTCGGTGTGAGGCAGCTCTGCTGAGACTGAGCCACTGGGCCGTCCTAGTTCTGGTTCCATTGCAATCTTTAAACTTTCTCCTTTTGAAAACTTGAGAACATTTTTACAAGGTTTTATTTTCAGAGAAAAAAATTCTTTTGTGGTAAGACTGGGTAAACATTGTACTTTGCGAGGTGTTACAGGCTTCCTCTTCCTATCGCGCTGCTGTGTGAGGTCAGAGGATGATAGCTTCCAAAACAAAACATTTTATAATAATAAATTCCAATTTTACCCAAGTCTACCAGATAAAAATGTACCCAACCTTCAGCAGCCAGATGGTTGGTTTGCAATGCAGAGTGACGCCAACAGTATGGGCTCAGTTCCTACACTGGGTGATATTACCATGAAGGACTGTGCTTCTCAATCTCTCCCCTTGCCTGAGGAGTGATGGCCCTTAGACTAAACAACCACCAGTTGTTTTGCTCTCTCGAATGAAACACGGTCTGGTAAGACTTTGGATTTGATCCCAATTGGAGTACTGTGAGCAGCTCTGGGCACCACACCTTAGGAAGGACATACTGGTCTTGGAGGGAGCACAACAAAGGATTACAAGAATGATACTTGGACTTCAGGGGTTAAGTTATGAGGAGAGATTACACAAATTAGGCCTGTTTTTTCGAGGATTTAGAAGGTAAAGCGGTGATCAGATCAAAGTCTTCAAGATATTAACAGGAAAAGACAGGGCAGATAAACTATTTCCACTGGTTGGAGATTCTCGAACTAGGGACATATTCTGAGAATGAGGGCCAGAGCATTCACGAGAGATACTAGGAAGCACTTCTACACACGAAGGGTGATAGATGTTTACAACTCTCTTCCACAAAATGGATAGTAGATCATTTGTTAAGTTTAAATAGATAATTTTTTTGTTAAGTGAAGGTGTTAAGGAATATGGGCCAAAGGCAGTTATACGGCCTTGACCTCAGTGAATGATTGAACAGGCGCGAGAGGATGAATGGCCTACTCCTGCTCCTATATTCCTATATCTACTCATCAGGATGGAAAATTGCCAAGGTATGTCTGGTACACATAAGAATAATTCAATCCAGCAGATAATTGCAACATCAGTCTGCTCTTGATCAACAAAGTAATAGAAGCTGTTGTCAAAATTTATCGAGAGACACACGATAACAATAACATGCTCACTGCCAATTCCTCCAGGGTCACTCAGCTCCTGACCTCATTGCAACTTGGCCCAGATATGGATGAAAGAGCTGAGTTCCAGAGGTGAGGTGGGTGATAGAATGAGAATGTATATGTTAACGAAATGAGACTGGGGAGGTTGAAGGTCAAAGGTTGGGCTAAGACATCACCTTTACAGAGCTACAGTATTGTTATAGCACAAAAGGAGCACATCAGCCCATCATGACAGGGCTGGGGTTAGTTATATTCCCTAGTTCCAATCTGCTACCTTTTCCCCATATTCCTGCATACTCTGAGATAGTAAGAACTGCCGATGCTGGAGTCTGAGA